GTTATGAAATGTTGTTGTTCGCTTTTTCATTATAAAATTTTGTGTACCAGCTTTTTAAGACTACAAGAATCTTAGGGCTACAAAAACTTGTAATGAGGATCTAGTTCAATGTTTCAGTATAAAAGTTTGTGTACCAGCTTTTGAGACTACAAACTCTTGTAGTCTCAGAATCTTAGGGCTGCAAGAACTTGTATTGAGGATACAGTTCAATGTTTCAGAGAGGGTGACATAGCCCTATATAATTCAGTCTTTGTACCTTCCATATGACTATGACAGAGGAATAAAATAGAAAGACAGGACAACTTACACTGAGATGTCAGAAAATTCAAACCCCTCCAATAGATGATATTAAGGCTGACTACAGACAAGGAGTAGATATCTAGGTCAACCAGGTACCAAGGCTGAATGACAGAGCTATGTGACTAGAATCAACTCCTCTGAACATTGAACTATCTCCACATGTAATTACTCAGAGTCAAGGACACTACAAGATACCAGTACATATCTTTGTAGTCTGAAATGTGGACACTACTTTTGTATTCCTAAGATTCTGGAACTACAAAAGTTTGTAGTCTCAAAAAGCTGGTATACAACATTTTATGATGAAAAAATTGAACAGTACAAGTTTTTGTAATGAAAAAAGAGGAGAGTATAGTTTTGGTAGTCTCAAAAAGCTTGTACTAGAAAACCTTGTAATGATAAAAGAAGAGAATACAATTTTTTGTAGTTTTTGTTGTCCCAAAAGCGAACACTGCAAAATTTTGTAATGAGAAATGCAAATTTTGGTAGTCCTGAAAAGTAGACACAACAAAATTTTCTCTTTCCAAACAGCAGACACTACAAATCTCTGTAATGAGTACAAAATTACCTAGTAGACTATAACTAGAACCAGTGGGCGCTACAGATGGGCGTGAACTTGAACGTTGATGTGAATGTCACACGCTGTGACTTTGTGACGTTACGACTCCACACCAACCCACGACTTCCACCTCGCACAAGCCACCACAAACGACCCCGGCTGCCCACAAACGGCAACAACTGCCACCCGCAACGAGGACAACCGGCAAAGGACGACAACCGGCGAAGGCCCCACGACACCTAGCAACAACGACACGACAGCCAACGGAAACAACGACGGGCAAACGATGGGCAAACGACGACCGGCGCCCACGACAGTCGATGACCAGCGCTGACGAAAATCGACCAGTGCCCACGAAAATCGAGCGACATCGCCGTCAGCGACGTTGTGCAACGCAGATGGACGAGGGACGACGACGACGAATGACCATGACACGTCACGACCACAACGTGGCAACAACGATGGTGGACAACACGACGTTGGTGAGCACCCACCCATCTCCCTCCCTTTCGTCTTCCGAGGACGATGCCAGGTGCCACGTCGCTGTTGGCGACGTGGCAACCAAACGGCGGACGACGACATTTCGTCGTCCGTCGTTTTTGTTTATGTTGTTTATACTATGACGGTGAGCACCTCCGTCCTTCGTCCTGAACCAACTCGCTAACAAGGCTGCGAAGTGTCTGGCACAACATCACGACATCACGACAACCACCTCACCATGACACACCACGACAACCACACCACAACTACGACGCTCCACGACACTTCGGCACCCTGCCACGTCACGCAACGCCCACGAAAAACGCACGCCATGGCCCCAGAGCCACGAACGACCTCACGTGGGAGCCAGGCCACACGTAGGACAACGGACGACGATGACGATGATGACGACAATCATATCGTCGTCGTCATTGTATATCAAACACGGTGAGCACGCCCCGCCTCTATCGCCACCCGCATAGCTAACACAACTCCGATGCAAGAACGACACGGATGGCCAGCAAACGACGGATGGACTACGACGAAGACACGCCGAGTGCCGACCACCATGAGACCTGCCAAGCGCCGACCACCGTTAAGAAACGAAGATGAGTGCCCATCAACACCACCTACAAACGGCGGCGATGGCTCAGCCATTGCCCATGATTCCTCACTGCCTTCCCCCCCATTCCCTTATGGCCCTTCACTCCCTCCCCAATTCCCTCCCTCTCCCATTCCCTCACTCCCCCCATTCACCTCACTCCCCCCATTCACCTCACTCCCCCCATTCACCTCACTCCCCCCCCATTCCCTCACTCCCTTTTCCCTTTATTTAATATTTAATGTAGTAATGTAAATCTATGTAGTTGTATTGAATAAAATGCACCTTTATCCTGGTTCAAGAATAGTTGAAAGATATATCCTGTTCAGGATATAGCTAAATATATCTTTGTAACCCCAAGTATTTCTTATCAAGTCAGAAGATCTTTGACTGGATAAGAAATCTTTGTGAAATATTTCTTATTGTATTTGAAAATGTTTACAAGTTCAAAGATCTTTGACTGGATAAGAAATCTTTGTGAAATATTTCTTATTGTGCTTGGAAATGTTTACAAGTTCAAAGATCTTTGACTGGATAAGAAATTTTCTTCAAAAATGTTTGTACTGACAAGAAATCTTTGTGAAATATTTCTTATTGTACTTGGAAATGTTTACAAGTTCAAAGATCTTTGACTAGATAAGAAATCTTCTTCAAAATGTTTGTACTGACAAGAAATCTTTGTGAGATATTTCTTGTCATATTTGGAAATGTTTAGCTTGCGAAGAATTCTCTTAAATAAATATTTGGGAGCAAGAAATGGTTTTGCAAACTATGAAATCTTTATGAAATCTTTTGGATAGTTTTGACAAGTTAAGAAAGGTTTGAGTTTCTTTTAAATGGTGAACATGGCAGATGGAAGGGAGGTGTTGGTGAAAACAATGGGGGAAAGCTGCTGGGGGATGCTAACTTGGATAAGTTTTAAATGGTGAACATGGCGGATAGAAGGGGGTGTTGGTGAAAACAATGGGGGAAAGCTGCTGGGGGATGCTAACTGTAATAGGTGTCCTGTGAGGTACAGTAGGAGTGGGTGGTCAAATTGACAATGTAGGGTCTGGCAAACGAGGATGTTGATCCTATTACTATGGTGTGAGGACTGATCGTGCTTCAAGCAACTTAGTCTTCAGTTCATGAACTCTTGTGGAGGTCTGTTGCACAACCTCTGCTCTTCCTTTGGAAATCCTCAAGGAAGTAGAGTTCAAGGATTGGGACTGATGAAAGTTTGAATACCTCTAGGAGAATATTCAATGACCTTACAAACTTGAATCACTTACTTTGACTCTAATGGAGGACATGATATGACACAGCTGCTCGATGAGCGAACATAGTGGTGGTACAATGAATATGAGTTGAATCGTGATGGTCATTAAGTAAGCAAAAATAAAACAATCCAAAGAAGAGGGCAAGGTATAATGTTGTAAGAGGGAAATTACCTAGGAAACTTGTACAGGCACTGGAGATATGTCACACTAACTCGGATGAGTTTTAAATGGTGAACATGGCAGATAGAAGGGGGTGTTGGTGAAAATAATGGGGGAAAGCTGCTGGGGATGCTAACTTGGATGAGTTTTAAATGGTGAACATGGCAGATAGAAGGGGGGTGTTGGTGAAAACAATGGGGGAAAGCTGCTGGGTGATGCTAACTTATATGAGTTCACATTAAGAGTGGACAACTTCCTTTGCCAACCCTCCTTTCTTCACCCTTCAATTCAACCTCAGTAGCTGTTATAGAATAGAACCATACATGGTTTGAAATGGACAAAACATTGGGTTGTGATCTGGATAAAGAAAAGAAAAGCAATGTGCAAAATATTGAGAAAGCTATACCAACAATACCAAGTTTTTTTCTTGAAACTGGGACCCCAGATACCCTGTGACACTGGTCGGATATGTTTGAGCCATGTGACAAGGCTAAAAGATTTTTCAGCAGTGTGACATGCTTAGAACATATCCGAGTGATGTCACACCACTGAAATATTTCTAGCCACTCTGGCACACCTCAAATATTTCTGGCCAGTTTGACTTGGCTCAAACATTTCTTACCAGTCTGACACACTTCAAATATTTCTTACCAGTCTGAACCCCTTCAAATATTTCTGACCACTTTCACTTGACTAGGATATTTTTGAACACAATTTATCTACCCAAAAATTTCTCGTCACAATATTAAAGGTCAAACATTTTCTACCCAATCCAATATTATATTTTCTCCCAAGGCAAGAAAAATAAATGGCCACACAACCTATTAGCCTGGATACATTCTTACATTTTACAAGGCTAATAGCTTGTTCAAGGTGGGTGACTGAAGTGAGGCACATACCATTCTCGCTCACTTTGGAATTTCAGTACCAGTTACAGCATTGCCTTGGGAGTTGATGGAACTTCTCGTTAAAAAGTATAAATTGAGAGTTGGGGTTACCTTTATCCGTGATCTAGCAGCGATCAAGGACCACACCTGTGGAGAGGATCCTTCTTGCAGCTTTACCCTGAGGACTTCCGCTGATTCAGGATGTGTCTTCTTCCCCTTCAGACCGCTTTCACCTCTTCCTACTTTGACGCTCGCCATGCCCATCACTCCTGTCATGCCCAAAGTAGTAGAAAATCCGATCTGCTGGAGTGTGGTTACTCCAAAGCTTATCTCATGGTGTGTCGGTGGCTGTAGATGTGCTGGTGACGGCGTTAAACTCCCTAGCCTAGTGTCTAGCCTCCCAGCCGATTATGTGTTGTAGATAGATTGTGTGTCACATTATTTATAATTGTTTGCATCCAATGCTTTCATCCTCGTACACAGTTTACGGATTTTCGGATTATAAGTTTAGTGGCACTATCATTGCAGGCACCTTGAAGTACAAATATGGTATAGTTTCTCTAATACCCTTGTTTTTCACACCCCTTTCGATCTTTTAAACAGTCTTGGACTCGATCTAATGCACATTCTACGCTTCCCTCGGAGATTCTCTTATTACAGGGTCTAGCACTTCTGGTGTTTTTACAAATTCAGGGTTTCAGGTCCCCACCTCCTTGATATCCTTCTTTGTTTCATCTATATCCTTTATATACAAATGAAATTCTGTGTCATATAAATGAGGATTGATTTTCACTCCTCCTTGTGCATTTACTTACTTTTCCTTCTTCACTTTGACTTCATGGTTTCTACTCGTCACAAGAAGGCTGTGGTTTCTACAGAGTTCATCGACAACTCTGATGAGTCGGATGGAAATGAGACTTATGAAGAGGAGGGGTATGTTTCTAGGCTGCGCTTTCCTTATTTTCAGTTTGCTCACCAAACTTTATCCAAGTTCGTCTGATGAGGAAGACGGAGAGGACAATGACAACGATGAAGAGGAAGAAGAGGTTGTGTGCGTCACTCATTTTTACTTATATTTGATGCATTTAACTCCATTTTTTGTTTAGTATGAGTGAGCCAGAGATTGTGGAGGTACCCTCCACCCCACGCAAACATGGAAGACCCCACAAGATTACTGCTACACCTACCCCATCAAAGTTTGTTATCTATTTTTATATCAGTAAAATCTAACCATTGTGTTCAGAGGGAAAAAGAGAACAATCAATGAGGTTGCTGTGTCTGATTCAGAGGCATCTTTCATTGCGAGGTATGTTCAATTTCATCTCATTATGATTTTTTGTGTCTCATATCAAATTTCAAAGTCCCATACATGA